ATAAACTTATGTACATATTAGGTTGAAATATACACCACATAATATTTGAATATAATGTTATTATACAAATTTGGGTTATATTACAAATATGGATTATAATATGGAACTTAATTATTTAAAATTTTATCATTATTCCTTTAAGCATTCAGTGAGTTATTTATTTTAGTTAACTTAAATACCTAAATTGCAAATAGATGAGGGAATCAATCAAGGCTATGAATGGTAATTGCCGCCAAAAATTTTGTCATAAATTGAGATCATGAAAATAAGGATTACTACTGTGCAAGGAAAATCAAATTAATTGCAAACTAATTTAGTATTTTGAATACAAATATTTCTATTTACATAAATGAGCTGTTTTAAACATTATTAGTTTAAATAATTTTTATTGAGTTTTCCTTGTTAAATTTAATATTAATTAATATTAATTAATATAACAGGTAAATGTTTAATTAACATACTTGTAAGGTATTATAATGAGATTACAAAACTACTGTATTATGTATTTCATCTCAATGCATTATTACATCACAAAAAAAATCATGAGAATAAAATCACATTTTACGCCGTTTTAATGATTAATAGCAAAGCCACTTATTTACTAAACATCATTAGTTTATTTTGAGAAATACTAAATCAGTGATCAGTTTTGCTTTAAAAATTTCATCAGTGGCCAGTAAATTAACAATTACTCTTAATAAAGTTTTAAGGTTATGTATTTGAATATTTATTAGCACAAAGGATTACTGTATTTGAAGTGTAATCTATTATGGCCAGGTTACTAAATTTTCTTCAAGTGACATATTTCACTACAAAAAATCGCACTAATAGCAATTTTATTTTGTAAATAGTGTTTTGTAATCTATTGTAATAATTATTATAATTATTAGGTGCTTAAATAGTTACAGACTTCTACGTTTTAAATGTTCAAAGAAAAGTCATTTAGTTTATATTTTCAAAACGAGTAAAAATAAAATTATCGTCCTGGTATTCTTACAAAAACTAAGTGATAACAATAAAGCGATAAATTTTTGTCATAATTTTCTGTCAAGCGTATGAAACTTTGATAATTAATAAAGATCTGTCAGTAATTCGACTAAAAATATGACTATTTTTAATGTCTGACTAGAAAAGATTTTTTGACACATATTTATGATTGAAAAAATTGTTTACTTGTATTAAAATTTAGTGCAAATTTAAAGTCTGTGCTCTTATTTAATTAATATGAGAATGAAAACAAACATGGGATAATGCTGTTTCAAACTTTTCTTGAATAATATTCATGGATACTGTAATTTATGACAAATATAGTCATTATATATTGTATTATTTAAAGTATTTATGATAGAAAATTATTTTTACATTTATGTACTTATAAACTTGCAGACTCTCGCTCTATGTGATGCATTAAAAGCATTAAAAATTCGCTCAACGAAGAGATTTATCTTCATAACTCTGAATTCCGTAGTAAGTAATGAATGAGGAATTAATTCAGAAACACTGCTTAAGGTCGGATATGCCCGTCAGATGAAACTTGATCGTAAAGACCTTTTTAACTTTAGCGATAAAAGTTGAATTGACTAAAATAATAACGAATATATTTTATAATGATAAAAATAAATAATTAAACTGATAGTTATCAAATCCCAAAATCTTGATCAATTTTATGCATAAATAGATCAATTATCTTCGTCTTACATCCCTTTTTATGGGAGGGTTTTTCAGCATAATTTTAAATATCTAGTCTGATCGATAAAAAATTAAGATTAAGGTTTTAGAAAAATAGTCAAATAGTTTTTGAATCGGAATTGTAATTGAGCGTGTAATAAATTAAATTAGTACTAAGCACTGAAAAAAAAATTTTCACGCGAAAAACTTATAAAAGATTTTAAAGTAACAACAGAATTAAAATTTATTTGATTGCAATATGAAGTAGTGAATAGTGAATAAATGATAATTATTTTCATACCGTAATTGATAATCACTAATTTAATGGAAAGCAATATTTGTAAAATCTGAAGAATCATTTTCAAAGAATTCATAAATAAGCTGTTAAAATGCGCTGGTTACAGTACTTAACTAAATTCTGCAATAACTATTACCTGTATATTTGTTGTTCACAAATTTTTAATGTACTATTGTCGTGGATACCATTTGTCACCAATTTTACACTGTATAATTCATTTCTAATTTTATTTCCACTAAATTTTACTAGCATTTTGTAACTAGATGTTGTCACAATTTATTACACAGTTCAATTTAACACATTAAAAATTGCTATTTTGTATTTTAAAATATTCTTTTCAAATATTTACACTAATTAAAAAGCAAATGAAATTGTAACACCACGCAATCAAAGTATGCAAATTAGAGCTCATCTGATGAAGTTAGATTTGAATTACCTCTCATTTAGCTACCAAAATACTTACGCAAAAATCTTTCACTATTAAAAAAATATTTGCCTTTTAGTAATTGACTGCATTGCATACAAATAAATAATTTACAATATCAGCATGTTTTTATCGTTTAAAAAATTAATGTTCACGCAGTAAATTTTCGTCATTTATTTATCAATTTGCTGTTTGAAAAAAAAGTTAGCTTTGCAACCAACAAGTTTACCATTATTCTGAAATATTTGTTCAATAAGTATCATAAATAAATAATATTCAATAAAGCAGTGCAAAACTTTTCTGAGCACATTTCGCTAATCAAACCCAATTTTGTATGCTTTTGTAATAAATTACAATTACAGTAATAATATTCAAATATATTCTACATGATTAATATGAATTAATTAAACAAAGAAATGGTTTGCTGAGTTAACATACCTACTGAACATATAGGAAGTTTAATAATTCAAGAGTTATCAATTTGATGCAACAGACACTCTCGCGGAAAGTTTACTTCATGCCAGATCTTATCAAGTTTACCACTACTTTGCATTACAAAACATTCAACGATACATATTCATCAGTCAGCAAATATTATCGAAATGATAAGCAAAAGTCTTTAAACTGATGCTAATAACTGAAAATACTGCCTGAATTCAGAAGCAATTATATTTTCATGATTGATGATCAATATCAATTAAGATAATTATCTTTTATTGATATTCATTATCAATTATTTTAGCAAAATTCAACTGATACTGCTTTATTTAGAGACACAGAAAATTACTGTTACATTAAATACAGTATGCTAACACAAAAACTTAGTAATCAGTGTGTCCTGATATTAATGTCCTGTAATGCAAAGTAATGGTAAACTTGTTAAGATTACGGATATAATTTATTATTATATTAAATTACAATACCAAAGACTGCAATCTTGATAATTAATAATCTAATTACTGAATTAATCAAAACATTATTATATATACAAATAACTAAATTAATTAAAATATATTTGTACTAAAAAGACTTTAAAAGGTTATAAATGTCACGTTTACTTTGAATATTTGACACTTTTCTGGCTGTGATTTTTATAACTTAATTAATAATTCAATCAGAAAAAATTGCGGATTCAATTCCTCAACACACAATCTGAAAATTTTCTTCAATTTAAAAATAAATATTCAAAACGACATACACTTAACAACTGAGAAGTGCTTTCAGACACGAATTTCCAAATAAACGATTTATGCATGAGTAACTGATTTCCATTATTTGGGAATAATGGTAATCTTAGCATCATCCCATTTATATTTAGAAAATGTTCAGTAATTCCTGTACTAATTATTTTTTTTTTGCTCATTCGAAGAGATATAAATTTTCATTATGACCTACTCAATTTTGTTCTTCGTAACATAACAAAAAAAAATTGGTCTATTTTTAAGCTGTAACAGTTAAAAACATACCAAACAGATTGCCTGTTAAGGAGCAAATGTCCTAAATTACGTGGTAAATTTTTCTGTGTTAGTGAGGGAGGTGTAGGGACTGTGGTGTGGTTGTGTTTAGTGCTCCCAGTCGTCTTTTAAAGTAGGTTTTTTTTTTTTTTGAAGTGAGTCTTACGTATTACCGTAGTGATTATTAGTGTAGATGTAGTGCCATTAGTTTTGTCAAGTACCAGATGCTTGGCATAGTGCCGAGATTTTGGGTAGAAAGCATAACTTTTATTTGGAATGTGGTAGAGTTTGTGTGTACCTATCCATGTGTTTATAGATTAGTAGTAATTACAGTTGAGTAGTGTGACATGATCCACTCTTATGAAATTTGAACAGTGATTTCATTGGTACCGTTTTACGTCTCTTTTAAATAGTTATTTAAATGTCAGAAAAAAATATATAATTTAGGTTCGGTCTAGATTATTATGAGTTTGACATGTTGATTTGGTAGCTTATTTGTGAGTTTATTAGCGGATGTAGTATAACGATTGTGCGCATGTCAGTTGTGTACAAGTTACTATAGTCAAAATTCAGAGGAAATTCACGTAGTCACATTGTAGTTTCGGATATTTTGTTCTAGTGTTTGGGGAATCCATTTTATTTGATATTTTCGAGGAAAATGTTTAGCATCAGTTTTGTGTTTCTGTAGTATCAGGTCAAATTTTTTGACTACTATAAATGTTTATCAGCATATGTGTTGGAAGTAAAAGATAAATTCTTTGACATCTTATCAGTCATTTTTTTGCATTTGTAGTCTACATGCAATTTAATAAATCTGAAGATGTAAATGTCGAAAAAGAATAAAACGAGTTTTGTTCCACTTTTTCATGCCTTCATTGTTTTTGGGTTTTTTGTACATTAAGTATTGTAGTAACATAGAAATTTAAAAAACTGATGCAGTGCTCAAGGTATATTTCATGGTAAATTTCGGACTATTAGAAACATCTATGACGAGTGTTCTACACTTGAAATGCTCATCAGGGAATCTGTGATTGGGCAAAAGCGATTTGATAGGTAGACTAGTGCCTAGCTTAAACACAGACTGTGTTTTGATTTCTGACGTTTCGTAAAGTAAGTCAGGATTATAAAATGTGTAAAAACCCAATTTCTAGTTGAGATGTCACATCGAAAATTTTCGGCTCCCCGACATGGGTCAATGGGTTTCACGCCTAAAAAACGCTCAAAACGTCATCGGGGTAAAGTGAAGGCATTTCCCAAAGATGATCCCTCGAAACCCATTCATTTGACGGCGTTTATGGGATTCAAAGCTGGCATGACTCATGTTGTTCGTGAAGTACGTGTTTTACAGTTCAGTCCATGAAACATTTTAATGTAGAGTAATTGTACAATGATGAATCGTTCAGTTTTTTTCTGATCTTAATTTGATGAGCAAAATAATGTTCCCTATTGGACTGAGTACATCTCTTTTATTTTTGTTGCGAAAGATATATTTTCCAGTGACTCTTGGAATGAATTGTAAATTACAGGTCGATAAACCAGGATCGAAAGTCAATAAAAAGGAAGTGGTGGAAGCGGTGACTGTTTTGGAGACGCCTCCGTTGATCATTGTAGGTGTGGTAGGTTATATCGATACACCACGTGGTCCACGACAGTTTAAAACTGTTTGGGCTGAGCATTTATCTGAAGACTGTCGGCGTCGTTTTTACAAAAATTGGTATGTTTATATGTAGTATAAAAATGTGCGTGAACCAGACTAGCTTGTAAAGGAGGTTGTGCGTTTTTAACGGGAGTTTTTCTATTGTAGTCTCTATAAAATTTATTTTTAAAACACTTAATACGCCCAATAGGCAGTAGTAGAACGTAGATTTCGTAGCATAATGGTTAAATGCACATAACCACTGTATTATGGCTCTACATGTCGGAGGTTCGAAATCTGTTCTGTGTATTTGTAAGGTGCAAATTGCAAAGGAAGCTGTGATGAGAGACTGGGTTTATCTTACTGGAAGTGAAGATGATATCATCAGTCCAAATTGCTGCCTTCCTTCTGAGCTTCTTTTACTATTGCAGTGATATGTTTAACCGTTAAAAGCTGTACGTTTGTAGTCAGGTTACTTGAGTACACAATTAATGAAGCATCACTCTCCTCTGCATTTTCCGTATGCATGAGTAACTGGCTCTTACTTCGGAGAACAGACCTTCCTCTGTTACGTATGTTAATGCTGTAGCATGAAGGCCATTTAAACAGTGTAAAAAGTAAGGAGCTTCAAAATGTTCTTTGCTTTACTCTGTTAGAGTTCTCATATTCCACAGGCATTCATCAAAGAAGAAGGCATTCCAAAAGCTTGCAAAGAAATGGCAGGATGAGGATGGATTGAAATCAATACAAGCTGATTTAGCCAAGATGAAAAAATATTGTTCGATGATTCGTGTCATAGCCCATACACAGGTTTCTTTTGACAATGTGTATTGCTTTTCTTTCTATTATATAGTAGTATGGAGTCATTGTTTGGTATGAAATTTGCAGATGAAAGTTATGAAACATCGGGAAAAAAAAGCGCATATCATGGAAATACAAATCAACGGTGGCACTGTCCCAGAGAAAGTTGATTGGGCGTATGAACACTTCGAGAAACAAGTAAACCAGTTTACTTTTTTATTGCTATGAATGTCTAAAAAAATTCTAGCTCTCCTTATTACAAAATTTGAAATTAAATTGATGGAAATAGTTTTTGTAGGTATCAGTAGATTCGGTGTTTGCCCAAGATGAAATGATTGATGTGATTGGTGTTACCAAAGGGAAAGGTTTCAAAGGTGTTACAAGTCGTTGGCACACGAAAAAGTTGCCGCGAAAAACACATAAGGGTCTTCGAAAGGTTGTTTTTCATTTGTTTACTTGTGCTAATACCATTTTTTTACGGCAATGATGTATTTAAAAGCATATGAAAGTAGTGGACTGAAAGCATTCTTGACGATGTTACACTCCTGAGCTGTCCATAATTTATTATTCGAGACCTGATTAAGATTAATAAAGATAGTGATTTTAAATCTTCATTAAGGTTGCATGTATCGGTGCGTGGCATCCATCTCGAGTACAGTTTACTGTAGCTAGAGCAGGTCAGAAAGGTTATCATCATCGCACAGAAATTAACAAGAAAATTTATCGTCTGGGAAAATCTTGCCTCACTGAAGAAGGAAAGAAAAATGGATGCACGGAGTATGATATAACAGAGAAATCCATCAATCCAATGGTATGAGTTAATATCTACTAGTTGTGGCGTCTGCATAATGATGATAACAGTCTGCAATTCAGCGTATTAATGCTGAGAGTAATGTACATCTGAATACAGTTCGCTTCGATGTTTACATTGGTCATAAATATGTTATTGTTTTTACTTTGTTCAAATTTCAACATTTTTAGGGTGGCTTCCCTCATTATGGCTTAGTTAATCAGGACTTTATTCTCATTCGTGGTTGTTGTATGGGTTCCAAGAAGAGGCCTATCACATTGAGGAAATCATTGATGGTACAGACAAAGCGTTTCGCTCATGAAAAAATCAATTTGAAATGGATTGATACCAGTTCCAAATTTGGCCATGGTCGATTCCAGACTCACGCTGAAAAGAAATCGTTCATGGGCAGATTGAAAAAAGATATACTTGCTGCACAATGATTGCTTTATTTGCCGACACTCAATTGTTTCTGTTACTGGATAAAATCTTTATTTGTTACATTTTCATTTTCAACACAAAAATTGGCATGCAGTGTCGCAGTATTTACAAAAATTTGAGTTCGATTAATTTCTACGAAGTCTTATTAGCGAAAAGAAAGGCGTGATCAGCATCTAGGATTGAGACGGTGGGGATGCTTGATGTTGTCTGCTCGTGGTCCTTCATTCTGTCTTTCGATTGTATGGTTATTTTGTCTTGCGATTGTTGTTTCGTCATCACTAGGGTAACTTGACTTGATTCTTGTCATGAATGTGAAGTAATGTGCTCACATAGGGTGTAGTATCATATAAAAATACAGTTGTGATAAGTGATCGTAAGAGGTCAGGGACATGAAAACCAACGAACTTGCACAAAAGACCACTGTATTGGTGGGTGACGTAAGCTATTCAAGTTGTTGAATAATTAATGCGGACAGGTGATTGCGCAAAAAAAGACTAATTTAATTCTGAATCTATTTTGTAGCTTGTGATTACTAAAAGCATTAGGTATGGAATGTATACAGAAACTGTGGTAGCCATATTAGGTAACTGCTGCAAATATGAAACTTGCGAGAAATATAGCCATCAGAGTAAATATTGTTGCAAATCTTAGGGGACAGAAAATGATAATGAGTAAATAAAGAAGTTATTTCTAGAATGAAAGAATGAAGTTCATTTATCTTCTTTCACAGAGAATGAAACATTTGCAACATGAAAAATATCAGGCAGAAACAAAAAGTGCACTGATTCTATTGTCATGCAAACATATTCAGGGTTTCTCAATTAATGAAAAACACAATCTCATCAATTTGGTCAAGATATACCATTTTTCTATCGTCTAGAAATATTCTTAAAAAATGCTAAATATTATAAAAATATGGTGCATTACAGGAGATCATAATTCCTAAAAGTTTAGCAATACAAATGTTACCATACTATCTTATCTTAACAATCAAAATGGTCTAAGGTGTGCTAGACTTTTCTCACTTGATTATTATCAATGCAATAAATTATTATTCTAGCAACGAGAATTACTGCTGCTTCGAGAATTAAGTTTAGTGATGTAATGACTGAAAAAATTTTTTCACACAATAATAATACTTATTATTATGGCCAGTGGTAAATGTACTTCAAATTAGATTCATTTAATAATTTTCCATAGCAGTTCACCTACATGGATTATAAGCTGCAAATGGAGCTGAAAGTTTTCAGAAAAGTTAAAATACTAGCATAGACATAAATATCATATGAAAATCAAAATAAATGAGTTGAAATTAAATGAAAACAATAAATTCACGTTTATAATCATAAATCAGTGATGCCTGATTGCTGCTGCAAAAATGATCGAATACAGTGCATGAGTTCACGTTTTACTTCATCTGGTACTGCTCTTCTGGCTTGTACTCGCACATCACTCAAAATATCCTCTAATGTTACTTGTTCGATACCCTAGAAATCATTTCAAGAAATTTATAGAAACGTCTGCAGTAAATAAAAAAGAGATAAATCATAATGATCTAAATCTCAAAAAACAAAAATTGACAAAAATATCCCTTTATTTTAATTGAGGTATAAATTTCATTCTAAAGGAAATTATTACCATGCAAAAACTTCCTATAAAAATCCTATATGTTTTGAGCAAGCTATATTCAGGGCTCCAACAACAGTTTTATTTGAAATACACAAAAATAAAAAGCAGTATGCTTACGTAGAGTTCTTATATTTGAATTTCTAGTTACCGTATTAATCCACTGACTAAAAATATAAACCAGAAACTAGCATTACCTTAGACTGTATGCAACTTCTGCACATACTCTCGACCTCTTCCACCCAACCACTCTCCCGTAACCTCTGCAACAATAACTCTTTCATTCGATCCCGTTCACCACATTCAACGAATTTTCGTTCCAAAGAAGCTTTACTTATTGATGCTGTACTCATTATAATTTATCTGAAAAAGTTAATAGGACATGTCATAATATACGACTACAAAGCACAGAGCAAAATATTGTTATCGACAATAACAAATGAATTTTACAGTGTTTTTCCTGATATTTTACTTCTGATGTTTCGACGAAAACTTACGAAACCACAACAGACTTTAATTATATATCGAGAAGTGTTCTGTTGCAACAGAACGTTTTCAATTCTCAACCTTTTTCCGAAATAGAAACCAAACCGACAAGCAGCTTTCTTTCGAAAAGTTATAAATAACAATAATTTCCTAGTATATAAATAATATTACCTTCCGCATAACAACTTTACAAATATTTCTGACTGCATCAGCATAACAAAAGTATCATTCACTTTAAGACTTTTAATTTCCACTTTAATTTTTATAACGTCAAGTTTGCACGTGTTACATATGACTTAAGAAACCAAATGAGAAAATAATTTTATGCACAGAAATATCGAATCGAATATACTTTAAAGAAGACAAGTTATGACACAAATAAGAGTTATTTTTGAACTTTCATGTTATTATTATGTTTCAATACTGTGATATGAATATGATAGCTTTCAAAATTTTTTAAAATACTATACCCGCATAGCTGAAATAAATACATGCATTTCTACGTGATTCTAAATTGAAGAATTAAAACATGAGCGAATAAGGAAAACTTGATTAGCTGAAAATATAATTACTTTTTATAATTTGATAACAACAAATTTAAAATTACAGTGAAAATTTATGGTCTAAAAGTTGTTAATTTAGGAGAGGAGTATAAAATTTCGAAATAAACAAGAAACTACACAAAATTATACAGAAGAAAGACATAACGTAAAAAGAGAATAATTACCTAAGTATTGAAAAGCAACATAAGCCGCGATTCATGCTAACATTTAGCACAAGAAATTCACAAAGATTTATAATCACACAACAGCATTGATAATATAAAATGTAAAAATAAATTACGTCTAATTACATGAGTTCTGCATTATAAAAAAATTCGTGAAACTTAAGTTCATTTGTGAAGGTTTTAGTTAAATTCGTAAGCTTGTGAAACTGAAGACCCAATATTATCATAACAAATTCCTTATTTGTAACACAATTTTGGTGTGAGCATTTGTTTTAGCTTGTTTTTATAGATCTATATGAACGCTTAAAACAAATGTAGAAAGAACATCAATGCAACTGCTAGTTAACAAATAAAAAATCAAATAATAATTTGAATTTAAACAAATTAAAGCAGAGGTCGTCTCCAAATGAAAAAAAAAGCACAAAAAATGATTTCAGCGACAAATAAAAAATACTTGACTGACTAAAGAATTAAGATACTACATAATAATGAGCATCAGAAGAAAAAATTCTATTTATATGAGAGATAAATATGAAACTGGCTTACTGGCAAACAAAATATCAATTTCAAAAAGATACAAAACAAGCTTGATAAGTACGCTAATCAAAGAATTTCGAGTTACAATAACAGTAAATAACATGTATTTAAGCTTTAAAATATAGTTATGAGATTTAGAAACATTATAAAAAAGTTTAAATAACAAAATCGCAATTTACTACTGCGAACATTATAAAAGTTGATGTTACAGCTTAAGAAATACTGGATTAAGAGCGATGATAAAACAAAAATCTAAGCAGAAACTTTGAACTTTGTATGAGACTCAATTCCAAGAATTCAAAGCATTCAAAAACAAAAAAATTTGTACCCATAACAAAATGAGCGAAATTCGATCTGCTTCATACATGAACGAAGGTTCCGTCACGAACCATCTTCTACTGGCGCCACGTAAGCAAGAGGGAAGTAACCAACCTGATATAATTTGTTTCATTTAATTTAAAAATTTTATGCTGATGAAACTGCTGTTGCAAATTAAAACAGAAAATGCATTTAATTTATAAACGGAAAGGCTGGACCAAGTTATACAGGTAAGATAAAAGTGAGACTTACTCGATTACCGCTACGTCCTTTCCACCAACCTCTATCTTCACCAGTTCTACTAATAACACAAACTCTTTGACCAACCACTAAAGTGAGAAAATTTGGTTCTGTCGCTTCAAAATTATGAAGAGCAACATATGATTGTATATCCACAAAAGGCTGTCTCAAAGTAGTGTTTAAAGTTTCAAATGACTCTCGTAAATTATTATCCCGATAATAGTTGACCAATTCCTGAAACTCTGAGATTTCAAAGTTTGTGAAACGATATTTAAACAATCAAAGCTATGTAGAAAACAAGCGAAAATTACAGATGAAATATTTTTAGATTACGCAAAGTGCTATCTTAAAGAAAATTAGCATTGAAGTTTCCATTAAAAACCATTAGGAAGTGTTTAAGACAATAAGCTTACCACAACACTTGAAAACATTGTACTTTCATCAAGGTAATAGCGTCCATCTGATGACTGCTCCACTTTGGTATGCTTGACGTCATTATTGAAACTGCGTTTTACAAAAAAGTAAGGGTGAGGATAAGATATGAAATACTGTAAAGATTCAATTACCAGAAAGTACAATTTATGCAGCGGTTTTCAGCTTGGTCGAAAAGATATCAGCACATTTTGCAAATGCATTATTATTTTTAAATTTAACATATGTATTGTAAATATGCTATGTACTACATAAAAGTTCACTCTAGAAAAATAGACAGCAATTACAACGGCTATTCCTACCAAGCATATCATCAATTCTGATTCATTTTGATAACTTTCTAGCTTTTACTACATGACATGAGCAAATAGTAATGTGAATTCTGCATGAAAGGAAATGAAATGAATCAAAATACCTTATGCTAATGACATATTTTTGTTGTGTAGCACTAAACCGCACCAAAAAAGTACCATCCGGGTTACCACGTAACAAATCTTCCGCATCCCAACGCTTCATTGGTCCTCGGTACCACTTTTGGCCGGCAACTTCTGTGTTTACATAATCTTGACTTTGTGATTTTCGAGGTGAAAACCTAAAATTCAATTATTAACTATCAATTCTATGAAAATTGCATTACTTATTGAAGGAAGAAGGTATGCTCAAGATGATAAATTTCATTAAAAATGTCATTTACGTGTAATTTAAAGCAACAAATACAAGCGAGACTAATTAGAATTTAGTGCAATGCATGCAATACCCTATAATTGTAACGATATAAAAAGGAATATCTAAGTGATTTTGGAAATCAACAAATACGATTTTTTTAATAATTTATAATTCTGGGAACTAAAAAAAATCAATCTCCTGATTTGCTGTTAGTTCTAAGAACTATAAATGATTAAAATAATATCTGAGTCGAAATCAGATGGAGTTCAATAAAAGTAACTGAAAACAAAGATTTAAGGTAGTAAAATACAACACATGTGCATTACCGAATCAAATAACATACGCATTTTCAATTGCAGTCAACGGCCCACACTCTTCACTGTTAAGAGTTAGCACTGACTTCGGTGAACAAAGGCGTGTATCACATTGTCCTACCGGTGATGACAAAGTAATATTATTTAAAGATGTCATTGTACCCGTATGGAACGACGAAGTTGATATCTAAAAATTGAAGATAGTTGGATATTTAATCAAATAAAATATAAACAATTCTTGATGCAACAATATTAGTAAAATTATAGGGTATAAAAGGAGGAAAAACTTTAATTCTGTTTGTCATATAGACTCAAAATTATCATACCCGAAATCGACGAACATACTCCGGTTGAATAAGGCCCAATTTTTGAGGAAATACGACAACTCGTCCCTGCAATACATTTTTAAGCTAAAAACCTTAGCTCAAATTTACAAATTTAAATTTATTCTAGCTCTAAAAACCGACAACTCGCTTTTTGCAGCCAAAAACTTGTGAATTCTAAATCCGGTATTGTGATTCATATATGAAATTTAGAAACAGTTGATGGTCTAAACTATTAAAACTCTAAAATTATCTCAATTATTAAAAACAAGTGCAGTTAATAAAATTTTTAAAATATTTTTGGCAAAGAAATCCATAAAGAGGAAAAGCCGTCCTTAAATTAGTTTTGCTATCCATTCCATTTAAGAAGCTAATCACATGAAACTTAATTTACATTAACATTACAATAGAGCTTAAAAAACAAAAAAACATTTTGTTTACACAATTACTGAAAAAGAATCAGAAGGAAAAAATTTCAATGTATTTTTTTAAGTGTTTTTATCACACTATATTTCATAGATAAATAACAACTTACGTAAAAAATCTTTTTGCGACTCACCAAATGAAAATATGTTGCTTGCTTAAAATAAAAAACTTTAAAATTTCTAAAATAAAAAATAACTGCTGCGTTAGACGAAAAAATCAGACAAATAGAGTGAAATAAAAGTTTTCGAAGTTCTCACCATCAGTGTGCCATCAGTATTTTGCTGAGTGATTTCAATTAGGTCATTAATTTCAAAGGACAAAAAACGTGGATCGCTTGAACGAAATGACTGCACAGCACGCACACATTCATGAGGTTCTACTGAACATGCAATATGACAATTAACTCATTTATTTTTAAATACATTTTTTACGCATAAAAAACTGAAATAAAAGACAGAAATTTTAAGAAATATAGTGCTTCTGAAGAAACGAAAAAGTTTTAAGAGCAAAAATTAAAAATACTAACGAGGAATGACATGCTTTCGCTTATTCACAAGCTGAATTGATGGAATTGATGGATGTAGAAAACCAACTCCTGGACATTTGCTCATTGATAAACATGCTCGATGCAAATTACGTTTACAATCTAAAAACACAGAAGAATCAACATGATGAAATGATTAAAAAAAACATTTTTTTTCTTGCTAAATTTATTAATTTTGACAGTGAATTAACTTCTACTTACCATTACAATGATAGCCCTGATAGAAAAGGCCAGCTAGAAGTTTCTCACAATGAAAACAAACTGTAGCTTTGTCATAACTATGATACTGTAATGTATTATGACCCGATGTCGTCATTTCTTTGGGACGCACATTATTCCTATAAAACATTTTATGCAAATCAAGAACAAATAGGAAGTAAATCGGATGGATTAGTTTTTTATCGAAAATTGGGCTGATTATGAAAGTACTCACTGTGCTGCTTCAATGTTTTCTACCCAACTGTCTCGCTGCAAAATGGTTTTGCAGCACATGTTGAGAACATTCGTGGTACCGTCATCCAAATCTTGCAGTAAAGAAAAATAATAACCACCATTAGCTGTTAATTTACGTGTTATTGTCCCAATTTTATTGTTAGTGTCTATATCGACATCAATACGGTAGTCATTGAGAATATGGGCACTTCGATAAGAGTATTGATTACCCTTAATGTGTTTACGATTACTGAAAGTTTTGATCAATCTGTTAATTGTTTTGATCATAAAATATTGGGTTATAGTTTTTTGTCTCACTGCTCACATGCACTTTGACTTTTCTATTATAATAAATCTCAATTTTGCTTCATAAATCCCACGCCATCTTAATAATTACCATCTTAAAGCTGAGAAAAGATTCGGAAAACAAAACTTACCCTCAAACTTTTACAAATAACCATCACTTTATCGAAAACAAAGACATAACGAGTTTTTAACCGGCTACCATCCTTGCTTTGATCAGCAATCTTAATTTCACCATCTTTAACAAGGCGACCATAGTTAATTAAGTGCATACCAACAGGCTGAAAGATGTTAATGATATTAGCCACAGGAATAAATATATTTTATCTATGTTGCATTCATTTATTTCCTTTTTAAAAGAAAAGAGTAAACTCAAATGCAGAACAAGAGTAAAAGTGACTTACAAGCTCAAGATCTGTAATGCTGGTTTCAATATCCATAACTAGCTGTTGCATTTCATAGTCACGCTTCATTTCATTCACATATGAATTGATATCTTGCATCGCTTCTTTCGCTTCTTCTAATGGTAAGCGATCTGGTGAATCCACAGAAGTAAGTTTTATCATCTCCTGTATAAAGGCTTTAAATTAGTTCAAAATCAAAAATAGGCTAAGAAATTAAACGCTTATTACCGTTGCGCAGCTGAAAATTTCAAATCAGAAATAAAAGATAGATTTACCGACAACAAAACGTGATACTTCAGAACTCTCTGCATGGGTATACTGAGAAGATCCTGAAGATGAAACTGATTGCGATTAGCAGCTATGCCACAATCCTGCAATATGATTAAACAATATACAATATAAAAAAGATCGATAAAGATTTTTCGGCGTGAAGTGCATGTAAAAACATACGATTATCCTCTGCCGAACAGTGGGATCCGTTTTTTCTAAATAAGAGATACGTGAACGTGAATCCGGTAATTTTGAACAGTATTCCCCATAAGCAACGAACTTCTCTTTCCATCTGAATGTAAAAAATGAAATAATGTTTTCAAAAGCTAATGCTTGATTTACAAATGATAAATGTTATGATTGAATTACGTTATAAAGACATCGCCAATTGTCACCAGTTTTTCATCAGTAGTTGGTTTTTCTAATCCTACGGTATAAAACACAGCTTGTCGTAAGTGATCACGAAATGAGCGATGAATGCATGCTAATTCCTTAAAAAAGGAATTAATTCTGCGGCTGCTACGAAAAAATTCGGATATGAAAAATGCTTTTTGTGATTTATTTTACTCTAATTAGTATTATAAGTTGAAAAAAAAAAGTTGCACATAAAACCAACCAATATATTCATGAAAATCAATTTGTGATCATCCTTTGACAGGACTTCCTCCAAAGGTGTATAAAAATTATTGATGATCATATCCAATGCTTTTTCAACGTAATTTGATTCTGTATCATACAATTCTTTGATACAGTGTTCACGTCGAGAATCAGGCTTAAAATTCAACCATTTCTGAAAATGGCAGCAATGATTCATGTTTCATTGAAAGATTTGTGATCACATATAACGATTAAGCATAATGAGCAAAAATCTTCCAAACAACCACAAAAACACATCCCTTATTTGCCATGATAGTGAGAAATACGAATCTAAATACGTCTCACCAATTCCTTGCAAATTTTTTTCGCTTTGAAAATATCAATAATAAAGCATATTGAGTCTTCTCATAACTAGCATTACATTCATAATTTGACAGCGACACAATCTACAGCGAGTAGTTTTATAAGCAAATATCAAACTTAATTTTTTATTTGTTCAATTCAGAAGACAAATGAATAGCAAATTATAAGTTATCATAAGCAACTTGCATCATATTCAATGGCTCTCAGTTCCTTTTGACTGCTTGATCTTTGACATACAATAGAATCATAAATTCTACCACTGGTTTTTTCTTCTTCAGCCGAACCGATATCATATGCGTTTTCAAGTACAGGTTCATTTACTTCTGCTCTTTCTCGAAGATTTTTATAAATAACTTTATCAGTGTAGCATTCCACTAAATTCAACGCAGACAAACGTGCTGGAAAACCTCTAAAATTTCATTTTTATCAAAAATGAACAAAAGAATAATAAAGTCACTTGTTCATTTATATGGCAAATTTTTTTTGCTTATTAATATGAAAGCCATATAAAAAGTAACTAATTAAAGTTTATCTCGCATTAAATATTCTTTTTTTTCATTAACACAATGCCAAAAAAGAATACCTAATTCCACTAAGCTGTGCTACTGGCGACGTGGATAATTTTGAAAGTGTTCTGAGCACTTTACCAAAATCATCTAGACGATACAAATCCCAGGGATCGAACAAATCGTCCGGCTTCATTTCAAACGTGTTTTTACATGCTTTCAAAAATTCACAAATGTTCTTGCAGCAAAGAAACTAAAAAGATATAAAACTAAAACGGTGGGATAGAGCAAAATGCACAAAATATGAGAAAATTCATAAAAATCCAAATATTTGGCAATAGTTGTTATTGTCTTTAATAAAATTTCTTTTAATTTGTAACATTTTGTTCATTTGCAAATTTGTAATCTTAGTTTTTATAAAAAAGATGACATATTGCCGTTTGACAAATGAATTTGCATATGGAAGAAATATTGTGAAATCTGAGGAATACAAAACTGAACTTTATCAAACATTATTGACTTACAGTACTACTATTTTCCAGTTAAAAGCAAAGTAACAAAAAGTCAAACCTGAGCCATTTGAGGCCTTTGTTGTAAATCTTTAGTATCGATACAATTTTCGCATAGCCTATTACACAACAAACAAAGAAGGACACCATCTCGAAGTATCGTAGCGAATTCACCAATATGTGCATCTGGTTCAGTGACACGATGTTTTGCATCTAAAATACCACATTCGTTCATCCATCGCACGCATTCCCGCCACAATTCAGCACTCCCTGTCATTTGCTAAATTTTTTCTTCGTTCTATTTGCTATTGCTTTGCTGAAATCTAAAATATGATTATGCCGTAACTCTAAAATACGTCAATTATGAACAAAGAATCAATACTACAAATAACAAACATTTTAATAAAGAAATATTTTCTTTTTCATGTACATTTCAAAACGCACTTAATACATTAATTAACATTAGAACGATTTCATAAATACGTGATAAAACTATTATCATTTCTGAATATTTCGAACTATTCATTAAATTAGTCTATAAAATGAATTCAAACCCAAATATACTAAATGTATAAATCCAAAATTATGGAAAGTATATTTATACTTAATTTTTTCATGAACAAAATCCCTATAATTAATGTTATTACTATTTTTTCTTGCCAAAACAAATCAAAATTTTAATATTAGCAGTCACATTCTAATAACAATAACTTCATGTACACTTTTTTGATTTAAATTTTAATTGAATATATTACATAAACCTAAGCAATAGTCTAATATAATGCGCAAATAAACGGAAATTTTAATATAAATAAAAAATATTCACAAATGCAACGAAACAAAAATAATATATGCATAAAAATAAATATGCAACAGAGATAAAAATGAAACAACCGCAACCTCATGCTAGTAAAAAATATGCTTGCACTTCACAAATATAAAAAACTATTTTTTACTGACTGAAGGAGATCGTTGTAGAAAGCTTTTTTTTGCTTTACTGCTGCTATTGTTGTATTTGGACAAACATTTATTCAGAAAAATCCAACTTTTTTATTGAAGTGGTAAGTAGTTTTCATTTAAAGAGTTATTATATTTATTAAATTAAATATGTATAATTAAGTTTAATTTATATGATAGAAATCAAACGAGGAAAAAATAAGTTATGTATACTTCAACAAAAGTAATTTTTGGATTTGAAAATATTTTTTTTATCAAATTTAATGACTGATTCTATTTTTAAATTTTTACTCATTTTTAATATTTTCAACTTGAATTTGATGTAATTTAAAGTAAGCAATGTGAGTTACAATAAACTTAATTTTGGCTCAAATTCTGCAATATTCACTTTTTTCTTTATATTTAAATTTTTAAATGAATTTTTCGTGTAAATATCATTCTATGTGATTTCTCAGCCAAAGTTACACTTCTTAAAAGAAAATTTAAAAATTTATGCTTTTAAAAAATAAATTTGAACAGAACTGAAATCAAAGAATATTTATTTTTGAACCATCGAATGCCTTCTCATCTCATTTGCATAAAATCTATCAAATGATTGAGATATTTACAGTTCTATTTTCACATCAAATTTTAGATAACAATTATGCTTTTAATTTTTTTTTAAAAAATTCGTATTTTTAGACACTTATTTTGTGCCAAAAGCCTCAGTGTTGAAGTTAATATTCTTATCTTTCTGTCTTTTATCGTAATTTGATTTGACATCCAGTTCTTCTCATAAAATATACCACTCATGAGATTATCAAAAAAAAACTTCCTCAAGTTAATTCAATGCTTTCATACGTGAAGTCAGCAGATTTCAACTTTTCTGGATGAATTTACTTGTAATTACGTCAACCTAATTTCTTTTTTTTAACTTTTCTATCACGTGGCTTACATCAATAACAATTTATTAATTCCCTTAATTTTTACGTTTGAAAGCAATAAATTTTAGATGATTCAGAATTGCTCCATTTTTCTAATTAAGAACATGATTACATTTCTGCGCAGAAACTCGAATCGAATTACACAATTTATTCCGAAATATTTAAAATCGCTGTTTGCATTCTTTACAATATTTCAGTTAAGTTCACCGAAAAAAAATCACCAAGCTGATTTACTTATCAACAGTAAAACATGCCTAAAAAGTATTACTCCATACATACCTAAAAATTATTGAGTTTACAATAGACAATTTCAATTCAAACTGATTGAAAATTTTTTCCTACAAATAACAACACATGTAACTGAAATTTAGTTGTTTTCCGAATTCTTCCATTGTCGTATGTAAATTTCGGACTAAATCCTGAGATATCGCAAGAACTTGCATCTAACTAATTTTTCACCTTTACTAGTCTATACTTTCACGCCTAAGTTATAGATTAGTTTTTAAAGTTCCATATTTTCGATAAGTTTTGGAATTTCAGAAAGTAAATGCTGCTGAGGATTTTCAACAATAAATAAAATATCTCCTTCCTAGAAAATATTTTTGCATTTTTTAAAAGTACAAGGCATATTCGTTATTCCTAATAGTTGTGTGTGATTTTACAACCTTATTAGTATCCAGGAGCCGTTCGTGGTAGTGGACAATGATCACACATTCCTGGAATACCATTTTCTCCGTTCGCTCCTGGCTCACCCGTGAGACCTGGTCTTCCAGGTAACCCATCCATTCCAGGTTCTCCTTGTTCACCTGGAAGTCCTGCTAATCCTGGTCTTCCTGCTTCCCCTGCTATGCCAGGGGCTCCAGGTGGTCCATACATACCTATTGGTCCCATTGGCCCTTCGAGTCCTTCTATGTTTAGTATTTTTCCTGGTAATCCTGGTAGTCCTTTCATTCCTGGATGATTTGCCTTATTTTAAAAGTATGTCAGAAATTTTCGTATTTTGATCTTTGCATCATTACACTGAGATATAAGCCCACTTACCAGGCATTCCAGGTGTTCCGGGAGGTCCAATTTGTCCTGGTGGTCCCGGAGGACCCCGTAATCCACCAAGTCCAGCTAGTCCTTGTTTACCTTGCGCACCTTTTGGACCCTGATTACCAGGAGGACCTGGTGGTCCATCTTCACAATCATAGCACCAGTCCTAACATTGTACTAATATTGTAATCTAAACTTGATTTGTAAATAGATGAGTTTAAAAATGATAGAAGAAAAAGCATGAAACTTACGCGTGGTGTAATTAATGTTTCATATGCATAAAGGCCAATACCATCATTACCAGGTGCACCATCCTCACCATCTTTACCATCGGGTCCTGGATTACCAGTTAATCCACGAGGACCAATACCGCATCCACAACAATACGTAACTTGGCGAGCAATACGTTTTTGGAACTCGTTGCCGGTATTTTGGTTTGATTCTTGACTACGCAAAATTCCGTTTAATGATACAATGTGCTAAATATACTTATTTAACAAAAATCGAGCAACATCTTAGCTTGAAAATTTGAATAAACTTCTATTTGCAAAAATCAATATTTTTTTTCTGTTCTTCAGAATAAATTTCTGTTCTTTAGAACTTGGCTTAATAGTCTGTCAAACATGAACTCACAAAACTTTAATTTTGTACTGTTTGCCATCCAAAATCTAATTATGCATGAATCTTTTCAAAAGTATAAAAATAGAAATGCAAAACTCTCTCTCAGTTTGGTATGTTTTTTATTTTTGGGTATAGAATAGATACTCATAGTTCAACTTTATTTTTACGATTGCTATAGCGCTTTTATAACAAAGTTACCATGATTGATCACAGAAAGTTTTGAATAGCTTAAAGTTGATTTTTTTTAATCAGAAAATGTACGGAAAAAACGTGTCATAAGTAAATATTATAAATAGCAGAAAATTAAGTTTTATATTGTGTGTACAGTTTCTTGTGCGGTTAGGTACAGCTTACCTGTGTATGTACAACCTCACGCCAAATATTACTTGACCTTAATCGACAAAATTCTACTTCGTTTCGCATTATTGTCTGCATTCGTTGTAAATAATTATAAACCATAGGTATCATTAAAGCACACACTAACATTGCAAAAGTCGACATTGTTACTCCCCAAAATGTTATTAATCGTAACTTGTTCACTTCACGTAACTTTTCATCACTTCTTGTCATTTCGTCTTTCTTGGTCATTTTTAATTTATTTTCTAATATATACCTGAAAATCAATATTTACTAATAACGTATATATTCTTTATCGTGGGATTTCGTGGATCATTTCATGCAGTTGCTCATTCGTATCTATCGATTAAAATGATTGGTATTATTAATTTTCCAGAATCTTAATCTTTCCTAACAGATAGATTCCCTATTTTTTCGGTAAGTAATATTTTCACAACTAAGCAAATATTCTTTTGCTATCAAGAAAAGCTAATTAAATCTATGTTACAAAACAAGCCTAGAGTAATTTGAACGAGTAATTGTTGCTCAAGCACTGATAATCTGATTCTTATCAATGCTTATTCATAAATCGTATGCAAATGACGTGCACCGAAAATCAGTAGTGCCAATTTTAATTTTTTTGAGCATAAAAAATTTAAAAATTTATCATAAAATTAAAATATAACGATTCTAAACAAAAAAATTGCATTACAAGTAGTCTTCACATTGAAAATTTGATTTAAAAAACGAACTTTTATTAACAATGTAGATTGTTTTTGTTTCACTACAATTTATTATGATAATTTTTTCAATGAATGAAATCAGATATTCAAAAATATGCGTACACAAAACATTTATGTAGTAATTTACGAGTTATTTATTAAATTATAACTATTATTTTGCCTTCAGTTTTGTATAAATATTTCAGTAATACCTAGCAAAAATATTTCACTTTAATATACTGTAATAGTTTAATAAATACAATTGCTAATTTGACTTTATTGAAAATGTCTACAATTATTAACAATATTAATTGTTGTTAATAATTTCGTACAAATTAATTTGCATAATATCCAAAGCATAATAAAAAGCACTAATTAATGATTAAAAATAATAATTATAAAAGCCTGTAGCAGTTTTTTACAGAACTAAACCAGTCATTAATACTACAAGATAATTCGTTCTTTATTTTTTTAATTTTTTCTTATAAATAACAGTTGCTAATTTTTATCTCTACTGACTACATTTGATATTTAAACAAGAAATTTGAATGAATATAATTAATACATTCCCATTTCTATCAAAATTGCTATTAATTAATCACTGAACATTTTAATGAGGTTAAAAATTAACATTTTTATGGGATTCATTTAAATTTGTCGTTGGAGCACATCATTACTTTAAAAAAAATACAAATACTGTAGAAATTTAGTTTGCTTTGCTCTAATTTTCGATTAAAAAAATTTTTGGAAATTTTTTTAATCGGAAATTTATGTAAATTTATTAAGCAATCAAAATTGATAGCAATGACTTAGCTATGTTTCACACCTATTTAAATGTTTATAATCGTTAATTATTCCAATTTTAATAAGTTGCAAAAAGTTTACAAGCAATAATTATCAAAATAAAATAACCGAAAGTCTGAACCCTCCACCAAAAAAGTCTTAACCCTGCACCAAAAAAATGGCTAGTGACGTGAATCAAGTTACTAGAATTGATTTTATAGAAATATTATAAACTTTAACTTTAATTAATGATCACTTCAGAGTAAACTATTGTACAAGATGAATAAAAAAACAGTACAAAGTGCCATATATAGAAGTAAACTTTGTCGTTCGCATTTTCGATAAAATGAATAAAAGTTATTAAAAATGTATTTTTGTTTTCAGATCAAACTGTCCTCAATATTCAATGAAAATATTTTAATTTGTCATTAGATTCTTTGTGCATCAAAATTATTCCTTTTCTCATTATTTTCACGTCTAAATATATGCGAATTTAAAAAATGTTGATCTAAAATTACATAATAAAACAAGTTTGGTTCATTTATCTTTTTATCAATCCAAAAATGAAACTTCTGTTGATTGCCCTATATTATCAGTGAATGCTTGATTATTGTTAAATAATGTAAAGAAAAATTTTTTAATTTTGCTAATTTAACAAAATAATTAGTAAGCAAATTATGATTTATTAATTATTTTCAGGTTATAACTGAATTTTTTTCAAATGGTATTTTGTTAAATTGTTTAATGATTGATTCATAAAAAGTTTGTCAAGAAGTTTAAATTTGATAAAACTTAGATTTTAGACTGAAATTTTCCACGAAAGTATCTAAAATTATCAACTTTAATTTTTACTCAAACTTCCGTACTTCAATTTATAACAAATTTAATAATAGAAACTTAAAATTTTATAATGAAAAGTCTCAGTTGAAGCGAATAAAATTTAATTCCGAGAAATGAAGTTGTAAAAATTGAATTTGATAGTTGTGAAGCGATTTCAAGTGATAAAATCTGATAACAAAACTAATTAAAGTCAAAAGTAAAGAGAAAAAATTTTCAAAATTTTTGAAAAATGAAAATTAATCCGATGAAAAAGCGATTTTGTTACAATGTTTGTCAGTTGATTTTTTGAAAGGTTGCGCATTTCAAAATGATCATTTTTGAATTGATTAAAATGTTTGTTAGAAATCAAAAGGAGTACAAAAGATAAATTTAAAGATATATTTAAAAAAGACTGATTGAAATATTGTAATTAAAAATATTATATGTAATAATATCAAGGGTGATTTGTGTTAATTATCCAAATATTTATACTATTAGAGCATATTTTTGCAATAAAAGTCATGAATTAAGAGTGTTTTACGTGACGTAGTAATGATTCGTACTTGATTTGTCACATAAAATGATCCTAAAGATAATTCATAGAAAAAATAAACACGTCTCACGTGACACTTACACAAAAAATAGAAATTTTAAATTTAAAGGATTTTTATCACTGTAGACGCAGTTGTAGAAGTGCAAAACAAAATTTATTTCACGTTCTGAAATTAATAGCAAAAGTACTGTGGTTCAATTTATAATTCTTTGGCGCTTTAAAAGCAAGTCACGTAAAACATATCCCATGACGCTTTAAAAGAAATTATAAATATCAGCCAAAGATATGATTATCAAATAATATCTCTAAACTTAGATTATTAAAATTAAATTAAATTAAAACTTAAATTAATATGAATTAAATCAAATCTTTCATAGAATTTGATATTTATGAGACAAATTAAGATATGACTTTTTGTTTCTACTTTTTGTGAAAGCTAAACATTCTAGCCAGAAATTGTTATTTAGAGTTAGGTATTTGAAATTAGCTTAAAATAATGTCCAGATGTGCTGATGCAAAATAATTACTTTTGGGGTCAAAGGAACAAATTTTAAATTTATCCTCTTCGTAAGATAAGTAATAAAAACTAAGAATCATATTGTACTTGACATTATAACTTTTCAAGAAAAAATAACACAAATTTTTCTCCTCATAAATTATAATTTTTTCAAAAACCAGGACAGGGACAGGACTTGCAATCATTTTTTTCTTGTTATTACTGTCTTTTAGTTATTATTGTTATTATCACTTTTTCAATATCATTAATACTAAGTGATTGTAGGAAAGCAACGATGCTGAAATGAATTTAATCCATCTTTGAATAATGGTGACAATTATATTACCTATACAATGCACCCTTATGAATTTTAGGTGGATATGCGCACCAGTCATACCTGAAAAAAATTCCATTTAAAATTCGTTACTATTTTATATTTAGTACTTTTTACTCCCTAATTATAGCATACCTTTGCTTAGAACTGAAAAAATTAAGAATTTTAAGTTACAAAGTAATGTTCTCACTTATTTGTGCAATTAATCAGATTAACAAATATGGAAAAATCATTTCTAATGCTAATATCTTAACTGAAATCTAACTCATTTATTCAATTTGTCTCTTTTTTGTGATGAGTGACATTTGTTTCTTAATTAATAATTAATCAAAATTTTTTCAAACATCAGATATCTAATAATGATTTTTGCAATGAATAAAAACTAATCAGTTAAATTATACTGCTGAAGCAAAAATAAATGTTACTATTGGAAAACGTTTATAAGTATTATAAACTGTTTTATATTATACAAAGTTAAGTTTACGCTTCACTAGCCCTAGTACGCATTGTACTTTCTTTATTACTTTTTTTCTAAACAGAAATTTATTGTAATTATCTTATCAGCATTAGAAATGACAAAAAATTTAGCTGTTGTAAAAATGAACGCCAGTGCATATAATTATTAGTTCTTGAAGAAAATTGATAAGCTCAAGCAATTGCAATTATTTGGAAAGTTTTTTACTTTTCGCAAAACTGAGCAATTACTGTTAAAAATTGAGATATCAGAATTTTCATTTGAGTCAGATGGATATACTTAGACTTACAAAAATGATAATTAGCTTTTTTGCTAATTGAATAAATTAACTGATACAAACGTAAACTAATCTTTACTTATACAAGTATTAAGTGCACACATAAATTGCATAGAATTATGTAACTTTTGCAGAAATTTGAAGTGAAAAATAATTTAAAGAATACTTTTTAATTAGTACTTGTTGATTTAATCTACTTCAAATTTATTTATTTTTTCAATAGTAAACAAGAAAAGTTTTGCTTATTTTTTAGTTAGCGTTCAATTTTCAAAAATCATTTTGAATGGAAAAATGAAAAAGTAATGACTAAGATTGAGAACAAAATTTTAATATTAAAAAAGTTTTGTATCATTTTTCAGAGTAAATGTTATTTGAAGTATAGTAATATTCACAAAAACGTAATGCTATTACTCTAATTGTAATTCAGTAATGATATAAAACTGTTCACTTAATCTTCTTCAAGATATTCAAAAAAGATGTCATCACAGAAATAGAATGCATATTAGTTTAAAATATAATCTTATTCATATATCTTTTCGTATCATAAAATATAAACCATCTAAAATTGCTTGAGCTAGACTATTTCTCTCTACTTTACATATATTATATATATATAATGATACGAAGAGTCTAAATAAATCTATTATTGACTGCGATTTTAGGTTATATTTCACTTAAATTTAGTAAAGCAAGTAAAAAGTTAAACAGGATTAACACTTTTTGGTAGTAGATTTCCTTTTTGCTTTACTACTTTACTTTGAACACTTTACTATATTAATAAAAAAAATTAAAA